CCCCCCGGCACCCCCACCCTCCTTACCTGGGACATAGCCACTTCCTGCTTAACAACCCACACGTCTTGGGGTTATAACAGCAACTGGGGCTGCCAGGATTGCCATCAGTAAGCGATGCGGTCACATGACAGCACACTTTATGACCGCATCGCTTAGCAATGGCAGTCCCGGTCCCAACTGCTGTCGTAACCTGAGACTACCTGTAGTGAGTTGCTCTATGCTACTGTGTCTGCCTCTCCAGGATATCTGTGTCCTTTTCATTTGGTAAGCTGATTTTCAGACAAAGCATCAGTCTTCAGCTACTCACATTTAATTTTCTAAGGGTCTGTGTGGCTCTCCTAACCAATCTTGGCTGATCTGCAAAAGCTAAGTAAGGTTTGCCCAGGTTAATGTTTGGATAGGAGACCACCAGGAGATCTGCATTGCTGTCAGCTAGGCTGGGAAATCGAAAATAAAAGACACCAGTGGTTGAGCTCTACTTGAAAACATCTTTGGCCTTTTATGGGACTGATGTTGAACCGGGGGGGGTTAGAAATAAAAACAATTCTGAAAGCTGGGCTTTTGCTTTGTAGCAAACTGATTTTGTTTAAATTTTGTTTAAATTTTAAGAAAGACAGAGTGGAATGGGCACTTTGCTGTTCCGCAGGGGTCTACAGGTCTGTTTGCACCCATGCATGCCCTGTGGGGACCTCATGCCTGCTTCTTCTAAGCCAGAGACTGCCCATTGCAAATCCTTTCCAAAGGCAACTTCTTGTTTTCAACAGGGCTGGCGAAAGCAGAAGATAAGGCGAAGGCACACCGAGCAAAGAACCTGGAGGCCTCCCTACTCAGCAGTAACACTGAAGATCACAAGAAAAAGCTGCCAGGATCCAGTATGAAAAAGGAGGCTGCCACCATAGCAGCAACAGCTCCTTCAACTACAGGTGAGCTTGACCAGGCCATTCTGTTTGCAGCAATTGCCATATTTCTCTAGGCCAGTGTTTTCAAGCTTGGCAACTTTAAGATGGGTGGACTTCAACTCCCAGAATTCCTCAGCAGCATGTGTGGACTTCCACCCCCCCCACTCTCCCCCCCCCCCCCCCC